TTGGTACTGGGGATTGAACTCAGGGGCACTCAGCCACTGAGCCACATCCCCAGCCCTATTTTGTATTTTCTGTACATACAGGATCTCACCGAGTTGCTTAGTACCTCACTTTTGCTGAGGCTGGCTTTGAACTTGCATTTCTGGCATTTGCCACCACATGGGCAGGAGTCCTGGTGTTTAAATGATGAAGACTTCAATTTTACTCCAGATAAGGCAGGTGGCCTGAACAGCTGCAGAATAGAGGAAATATCCTTGGATTTATTCTCCATATCGTTCACAGGGTATTGCTAAATTGCTAAGGCTGGCCTAAAACTTGTAATCCTCTTGTCCCCATCTCACAAATTGCTGATATTACAGGTATATGCTACTGCACATTGGCCCCCACTCCCACCCTTTTTAAAATGCTGGTCAAGAAGCAATTGATTGCAAACCTACAGTCTGAAAAACACTGGGGCAAATGATTTCTAAGTTTCCCATCCTGGACAGCATGTGGAAGAGACTTAACAATTGGGAGATTCCTATCAGTCTTTTACAACTTGACCTCTCAATAGGACCAATATTATTAAAGGCAGGTGCCTCTAAAACCCTTTAAAAAAAAAAATCAAATCGCTCTACACTGTGATGTTCTTAGTGAGTCTATTGTAAGTAGAGATAGTGTTAAGATGTGAGTGTCCAAACAAATATGCCAGGGGACAAATTAGAGGGAATTTCCTGTGGGGTTCTGCATGTTGTTAGATTGCCTTTGCTGTTGGGAGAAAGGCAAGGGCACAGCTGTGGATGTGAGAGCATTGCATTGCTATTTCCATTACTCCACCTTAGAAGCGGTGGGTAAACAGACTTCTTAGAAGAGGGATGGCAACTTGCAAGTTTCTTGCTGAAGAGATATTTTGTAGTCTTTTTATCCTTTCAGTAAATAAATGTAAACTGTTTTGAATTTCAACTCAGTACACAAAACATTGTTACTTTATTTCTAATAACTTCTATGCCTAAACTCCCCCTTCCCCTCAAGTGGTAAGAATATCTCAAATTGACCACTTACCAATTTGAGTGGCTAAAAGTTTCATTTTGAGGAAGACTTTAACTTGATGGTCAATGGAGAGCTGGGCCTCCTGTCCAGCTGAGAGGAGGCTGGGCCTCTAATGGGTGAAAGCAGAAAGCAGTCTGCTCCCTCACCCCCTACCTCTTCTCTTCTCCTTCTATGACCTTAGTCCCTTCCTTCCTTTGTTCCTGCCCTGACTATCTACATGAATTAAAACTGATACTATAAAACCCACACCTTCAAAAGAGCTCTGCATGAAAATGTCAAGTTAACCTCTTCTTGAAGATCAAAAGAGGTTGTTCATTATGTGAACCTCCCCATCTTAGCAGGGATGAGTTTTGCAAAATCCCTTCCTTTGGGATGCCATCAAGATCCTTGCTTACTCTGGGGGCACATCTGTTCGCTCTTTGTTGTAATAAGGAACTGGTGTGACTCCATTTTTTAAAAACCAGCCTGTACCTCAGAGCAGGGCCTGTCCAAAGGGGGTGGGGATGAGGGGTGGGGGAATGACCCTTGTCTTTGGAAAACCAGTTCCTAGGCATATAAGCTACCCTGCTGAGTCATTTGTCTCTACCAGATGTCCTTGACTCAGCAAATGAAAGTTCCTGAAAAGACCAAAAGAATGCTTGAGACCTAATTTCAGACCATAGCAACAACCAATCAGAGTAAGGGAAAATATCTGAAATGCCAGGTGACCCTCACAGTAGTTTTGGTGATTGGTAACATGATTAGGCCACCCTGCAAGTTTAGCATATACACTCTTGCAACCCCTTGAGGCCTAAGCCAATCAGTTCAAATGTATCCACCACTTGAACTAACCAATCACCCTTACCCAACTTGTTCCCACCAGTGAGCGTGCTAATCAATGTTAAGAGTTATTGTTTGAGGGGCTGGGGATATGGCTCAGGAGGTATCGCGCTCCCCTGGCATGCATGCGGCCCGGGGTTCGATCCTCAGAACCACATACAAACAAAGATGTTGTGTCCGCCGAAAACTAAAAAATAAATATTAAAAAAAAAGAGTTATTGTTTGATTTTCCCGCGGTACGAAATGATTTGCTGTGTGATGTTGTGATGCATAGAGTATCCCAAAAAACTCCCTACAAATCCTCACTGGACCAAGGGTCAGGATTCACTCCTCACTCCTCGGGACCGCTGCATTGGAAACGGTTGTGAGTCCAGGCTCAAGCTTGCAATAATCTTGTGTGATTGCATCGGATTCGGCTCCTGGAGGTCTATCGGGGTCCCAGGAATCTGGCATTATATCAGGGCTGCCAGGGTCCCCACATGGGTTGTAGAAGGTACTCTCTCATGAGGCCTCAGCAAGAAGGCTTTACTCCCAAGTCATCTTGCAAAGATTCACTTGACACCATGGTATCCAATGATCCTCATATCCTTGATGCATTGAAGGCAGCATCTCTCTCTTTCCTCTGTCACCATCTTCCTTCTCTAAACTTTGCAGACCCTGGGCCTGGGCAGGGAAAGCCCAAGGATGATTTACAACTGAGCCACATCTCCAATCCTTTTTATTTTATTATTTTAAAGACTAGCTAAGTTGTTTAGCTAAGTTGTCTAGCTAGGTTGTTTAGGACCTTGCTAAGTTGCTGAGGTTGGCCTTGAACTTGAGCTACTCCTGCCTTAGCCTCCCCAGTCACAGGCATGCACCCCTATACCAGGCTATGGAGAGCTATTTCTGGGATAGCAGCTCACCAATTCTCAGAAAAATTATCATCTCCAAGTGATACCGCTGGTTATCCGTGATGAGTCCTTCTTCCCTACATGTTGAAGTTTGAACATCAGCGCAGCCTGCCAAGGCAAGCAGGGTTTATTTAAAAAGGGATAATGTAGACTTCTCCCCGGGAGGGAGAAGGGGGCCATAGCTGGTATCCTGGTATCCCAAGAAGTGAGGTGTTCTGCCCATTTTATATATCCTAGGCTTCCTTTGTTCTCCTGCATTTCCTCCCTATCTCTCTCCTTCCTGTGAATGTGACTAGGCCCTGGAAGGCTCCGTGGGAGGGCCCAAAGGTGGGAAACAGGTGGTCTGAAGGGGAAAGGACCGGATGCAGCAGCCAAGGACACATTAACAATCTTATAACTCCCTGTGGGTGGGTGGGTGGAGCAATTCCTGGGACAGGTTACTTTGTCCACAAGTTGGAGCAGGGGCAGGTTCTGGATAAGGGGTGCAGGAAGGGCTCTGAAGGAATTAACATTTCAGTTCCTCAGGGGATAGTCTCCTACTTTCCAGACTCAAAATTAGCCTCCTGGATCCGATCTGACTCAATTTACCTATCTCTACTGACTGCCTGTCTAATTGTGACTTCACAAGTAGCATGCCCTATTCTCTGAGAGCAGTTCCCTGCAAAGGAGACATCTGGCCCTCAGTCAACCATCTTTTATATAGTATGGTGGATGGGGGTAATTTGAGATTTGGTTCTAATGAAGTGACTACTTTTGAAAAAGCTCTGATTCTCTCCTTCTTACCTTTTTATATTTTGGAAGAACAATGTGAGGTGAAAGTGTAACTCCTCTTGTTGCAGCATCCTAGGGAAAGGTCCCTTTTGTCTTTATGTAATTTTCTACTTTTCCTCTTTCCAAGGTTTTTTTTTTTTTTTAATTTAAAATATATTTTATCTCATGTAATTTTTTTTGTTTTTTTTAATAAACGGTTTACATATGAGAATTTTGCCACCCCAGCTTTCTTTTGCAGAACTTTGTATGTAACATTCCTGTATTCTTTTGCTTTCAGTCTACTTGTATCTTTAAATGAGTCTCCTATAGATTACCTACAGTTGAATTTTTTTTTAGATCTAATTCTGTTACTCAAGCTTTTTGTTTTGATTGGTGTTTTGTAATAATGCATTTATAATCAAATAAATTTCTAACAAAATAAAAAATAAAAATTAAAAGAAAAGAAAAAGCTCTGAAAGAAAATGCTAATATCAGGCTGCAGTTCTCTGATGAAAGAAAGTGGGAACTTTAAACACCTGGTTTTTTAGCTTCGGGCTTTTCTACCATTCTTAAAAAAAAGGAAGAATTCCTCTCACATCTCATACCACATTATATTTCTCCTGTGCCAGATACTGCAAACACAGCAATGTATAGTCATAGTTTCTACTCTCATAGAACTCATAATCTCATGTGACATTAAACACACACACACACAGACACCACCTATATCTATGCAATTGAGATGTAGTAAGTGCTCTGCAGGAAAAGCTCAGAGTGTTATGAGACTGGACATAGGGGTGTTAGAAAAAGTTCTCTGATAATTAATACTTAGCTAGAAACTGAAGTGTGGGCACAAAAAGTGGGACCCAAAAGACAGATGGGACCCAGATTGCCTGGGACCTGATGAGGAATCCTCAGTGATTTTTAAAAACCAGCTGATGACATGACCAAATTTGCATTTAAAAAAAAAAAAAGGCACTTGCAACATTCCTGCTTCAGGCTCCCAACAACTTGAGAGGCTGAAGCAGCAATGTTGCAAGTTCAAGGTCAGCCTAAGCAACTTAACAAGACTCTGTCTCAAAATAAAAGAATATAAAGGGCTGGAGATGCAACTCAGTAACAGAATGCTGTGGATTCAAATCCCAGTACTGAAAAAACAAAGTAACCAATTAATTAAATAAAATTATACACAAAAAAATATGCAAGGGCTTCACTAACATGGATTCATTAAAAAATGGCAAATTTTATCATGTTAGAATATTGAGGTTAAATTTGAGACCCGCTAGGGTTTTTAAATTTTCCCCTGGAAATGAAAAAGAGATGATAAAGTAAATGGGGAAGATTCATGTCCAGACGTACTCTATACATTACACTATTGTAGGCTTTGTTACTAAAAATCCATGGGGGTGGGGGGACCATGATGCTTTCTCCATAAAAAAAGGGCATCTACATTTCCAATAGTGTTATGCTCGAATTCGGGACCCCCAAAAGACCACCAGAGACCAAGATCGATGTAAGCAGCAAAGAGGTGTTTATTGCGAGCTAGCTCGGTCCTCCTCGCACACAGCAACAGGTGACGCTAAGAGGCCTGAGCCCAGATTTTGCAGTAGTTTTATACATTCTTTGGAGAAGGCAGGGACCCCCACATACATCATAGCATCTCTTAGCAAATCACCACACACCGGGGGAAATTCAAATAACAACTCTAAAACATGATTAGTGTATCAAGTGGCGGGAAAGAATCTGGAAAGAATTATTGGTTAGTTCAAGGGGTTGACGCACTTAAAATTGATTGGTTTAAATCGTGAGGATGTCGCAAGGGGGGTGCAAGGGGGGTACATGCCAAACTGCAGGGCTTCTAGTTTAGATATTGGTCATCACACCTAGGTGGGGGCCATCTGGAATTTCAGATATGTAGATATCTTGGCCTATCTTAGGTGATCACCATCTTCGGCTTTTCCGAGAACTGTTTCCATAGAGCTTTTCTGTAGTATTTTCCTGACTTTAGGACTACAGTAGGTCAGAGGTTAAGTTTCAGAGCAAAATGAGGTCCCAAGTAGAATGAGATTTCTTAGGTCTTTCAATAGAAGGCATAGCTTTCTGGAAATCTTGTCTTTATTAATATATCTTTGAGAATTTTTGCTGTAATGCCATATTCGTGGGACCCCAATAGACACCAAGGAGCCGAATCTGATGCAATCACACAAGAGTCTTTATTGCAAGCCCAAGCCTAGATTCACAACTGTTTTGGATGCAGCAGTCCCTAGGAGTGGGTCCTGGCCCTCAGTTCAGTGAGGATTATAGGTTTTGGGGGAAACTCTACGCATCACAACATCACACAGCAAATCATTTCATACCGCAGGAAAATTAAACAACTCTTAATATTGATTAGCACATTCACTGGTAGGAACAAGTTGGGTAAGGGTGATTGGTTAGTTCTAGAGGTGGATACATTTGAACTGATTGGTTTAAGCCACGAGGGGTTGCAAGAGTGTGTATGCTAAACTTGCAGGGTTGCCTAATCATGTTACCAATCACCGAAACTACTGGGGGGGTCACCTGGCATTTCAGATATTTTCCCTGTCTCATGCTGATTGGTGGTTGCTAGGGGGTTGCTGTGGGTCCTCAACTAGGGTAACTGAGTCAGGGTCACCTGGTGCTGCAGATCTCTCCAGTTAAATAACTCAGCAGGGTGGGTATGTGCCTAGGAGAGCTCTGTGGGTTTTTCCTAGGACAAAGGTCACGCCCCCTCCCTCTGGACAGGCCTTGAGGTAGAAGCTGGTTTCTCAAAAATGGAGTCACATCAGTTTCTCATTGCCTTCCCACCAGACCTAAACCTCAGTTTTATGGGTTGAATATGTGGTATCCCTGAAAAGCTCATGTGTGAGATAGCAAGATGTTCAGAGGAGATGATTACTATAAATCCCTTAACCTAAACTGATGTGGATTAATTGGGTAGTAACTATAGGCAGGTAAAGTGTGAGTGGAGGAAATGGGTCACTGGGGGCATGCCTTTGGGGGTTTATATTTTGTCCCTGGTGAGCAAAGCTTCTGCTTCCTGACTGTCATGTCCTGAACTGCTTTCCTCCACCATGCCCTTGGGCCACTGCCTCACTGTGGGCCCAGAGCTATGGAGTCAACTGACCATGGACTGAACCTCTAAAACCATGAGACAAAATAAACTGGGGTTGTAGCTCAGTGGTAGAGCGCTTGCCTAGCATATGTGAGGCTCTGGGTTCAATCCCCCGCACCACATAAAACTAAATAAACAAATAAAGTATTGTGTCCATCTACAACTAAAAACAAAACACTGCTGGGGTTACACATGTAGCTGAGTGGTAGAGCACTTGCTTAGCATGTAAGAGGCCCTGGATTCAATTCCCAGAACCACATACATGTGTGCACATACACACATACATATACAAGCAAATAAATAAATAAATAAAATACTGCTGTATTATGAAGAAAGGGGTCAGCAAACATAGCCTGGATCCTCTCCTCTCCTAGGTTTGCTGTCCATAGAGACACTGCTAGTTGATCCCAGGAAGATGTAGATAGGTGGTTGCAACTCTCCTTCCTGCAGACCCTAGATGTGGCCTTGAAAATCTCAGCAAAGTACTCTAAGCAGCTATCTGCAGCTGAATTTGAGATATTCCTGAAGATACTAATTTCAAAGTGGGAAAACACACACACCCCTACCTCAAGCAATGGGAGTTAAAATAATTCCTTTGTAATTTTGTTTTCGAAGATACTAGCAGAAAATGAAAATGAATTTTCCACTAGCTAATTTGGGACAGTTGTATCCTTTTCCCCACCATATCCCCCTCCCCCTCCATACAGTCTTGCTGTGTTGCCCAGGTTGGCCTTGGTCTCCTGGGGCTCAAGGAATCCTCCTGTCTCAGCCTTCCAAGTAGTTGGTGTTACAGGTGTAGGCCACATCTGACAATTTCCTGCTCTTTAGCATCACATATCTCATAATCTCTTGGAAAATAAAAGTAATAGTCCAAATGCATTAACCAAGATGTAATCAGCTTACTTTATCCCATTTCAATTATGTGAATCTTTTTTGTATTTTAATTAAGTTTGGGGTATTACATACCCAAAACACTTTGAAGCAATTTAAAGAACCCAGCTGAAAATGTTTCAGGCACCTTTTTCTGTTTATTTGTTTTTTAGTTGTAGACGGATACCTTTATTTTTATGTGGTGTTGAGGATGGAAGCCAGTGCCTCACTCTGCAAGGGCAGATTGAACCCAGGGCTTTGTGCATGTGAGGCACCAACTGAGTTATATCCTCAGCCCAGGCACACATTCTTAAAGAACTTGGCATTCTTTTTAATGAGAATGCTGTAGAGAATCATCATGTATTAGATATGGGGGGAAAACCCACAATGTGGGTGGGCTTCTGTTGTCTTTCTTGCCCTGATTTATTTTAATGAAGAATTCATTCCAGGCATGGTGGCAAACACCTGTATTCCCAGTGATTCAGGTATCTAAAGTAGGAGGATCTCAAGCTCCAGGCCAGTCTTGGCAAATTAATAAGATCAGCTCAAAATTTTCAAAAGGAGCCGGGATGTAGCTCAGTGGTAGACTGCCCTTGGGTTCAATGCCCAGTACCAAATAACAATAATAATTCAGGAAGTAAGTAAGAGATGAACTTGATTGGTAATGGTTAATATGATTGAAGAGGGTAGATAGTGTAAACATAAATGGCAGCTGTAAGAATGCATGCTTCAGAAAAGAAATCAATCCATTTAAAATGGTATAGATAATTTGTCATAGTTATAATTGGTTGGCTTCTTTGAGAAGCTAAAAATGTATGAGGCATAATAAAACATAATCAGTGCAGCAGAAACAAGAGTGTTCCTCTGCATTGTATGATCAAGATAGAACACTCCACAGGATCTGATGGGGGCAGTTTAACGTTCCCACTGCTAAAATCTGATTTCCAAAGCATTAACTCCAAGTCAAAGTTTTGTGCAGCACAGATTTGGTCCACAGATGAATGCTTCTCACTCATGGTCAATAAGCATGTGATCTTTTACAGGACATTATTACTATTTCTAGTCTATACAGAATATTCTCGTTTTCAAATGTAAACATAATAGGAAAGCCATTGACAAGACAGCAAGCTATAGACTGCTCAGATGTTCCAAGACTGATCAGATGTTTCTTAAAACTGACTACTTAGTACCTGTATGACTTACCTCCTGAACAGCTTTGCTGATGTTGTCCTCCTTGGATTCACCATTCCATAGCAAAACTAAAAAAATGGCTGATCTCACCAGTTAATAGAAAATGAAGCATTCATGGCTTTTTGCCTCCTATACAACAAATATTCTTTCAAAAATGATGTTTGAGTACTGCAACTTCACTCTTTAGACTAACAAAAAAGGTTTTTGCCAATCCTGAAGATTGTGCTAGCTTTGGCAAGGGGAAGAATGCCAATAAGTATCTTCAACCAGATGAGAATGGAACATGTACGAAGAGCCCATCTGAACGACCTTGAAAATACTGTTCCATTTTTTGGTACTGTACCATTACATTAATTGAATGGTCCAGACCTCTCTACGAACATGCTGTACTTCAGCCTTTAGTTGGAACATAGATTTACCACACAATTGTGTATTTGACATCACAACCCCAGCCAAACAGAGCTTTGGCTTCCTTTGTTGGATATGAAATTACTTTTTCAATGACCTCCAGGTTGCATAGATTTAGCTGTAAATAAAATCAGTTTCCTCATTATGTGATTAGTTTCTAAGAATTCTACACTTACATACATAATGAATATTTCCTGAAGATTTAGGTAGGAGGGGAGCAGAAAAATTAAGAGATGAGGCCAGGCACAGTGGCACATGCCTGTAATCCCAGTGACTCAAGAGTCTGAGACAGGAGGATTGCCAAATACAAAGCCAACCTCAGCACTTCAGCAAGGCCTTGAACAACTTAGTGAGACCCTGTCTCAAAATAAACAATAAAAAGGGCTGGGAATGTGGCTCAATGGTTAAGCAATCCTGGGTTAAATCCCTAGTATTAAAAAAAAAAAAAAATTGGGGAAAACCTATTTTAAAGATTAACATCACACATATCCTTTATTCTTGGTTTGTATTTGCTCTAGAAATTTAACAATAATTCTTGACTTTCAATTCTTTTACAAGAATTCTGATTGTTATAATTTGCAATGTTCATCAACATTTCATATTGTGAATCTATTTTAAAAAATGCACATACGAGAAATCTATATTTAAATGCTGCTATAACAGGCATATGAAATAAGAATTTAGAGAATTAAAACTGTTTTACTTAAAACTACTAAAGGTACTGTTTTGTCTCAGACATTGCATGTTTATATTTTAAGAAATCACGTCACATTTAGTTGCTGTTTTGTGCATATAGATAAATAAGTATACAACTACATCTTTACTACAACTCCAAAGAGGTGGGCTGGTAGGTTGCCCAGTTTCACCAGAAAAGGCATAAGGCCATCAATACCGGGTAAGCTACTTCTCAGCCAGACCTTTTTCTTGTTCTTATTTTTAGTTAGTACTTTCATGGTTATTGTATTTAGTTTTATGTTTCACCAAATTTTAAAGCTACATTGACAGAAACCCTGGAAATGTCTAAGATCTTACAGATTAGAGAAGTTTAAATGCATAAGAACATAGCAATTACATTTTAATTGCTTACTTGAAAGAGCAGTTACTGTCACACAAAAACCACTTAAGAGTAAAAAAATGAACGAAATTTTGTTGGACCCAAAAGTGTTATTAAATTTTTATTGTAAAAATACATAATATTAAATAATATATATAACATTAAATCTGTTTTTTACGTGAACGATTCTGAGGCATTAAGCACATTCATATTGTTATATAACCATCAACATCCATCTCCAGAAATTTTTCAACATTCATCCCAAATAAATCTCTGTATTCATTAAGCACTAACTCTCAGTCCTCTTCTCCCTCCTGTCCCTGGCAACAGTCATTCTATTTTCTGGCCCTATGAATATGAATATCCTAGGAACCTCTTCTGAGTAGAGTCATATGGTATTTGTCCTTTTGTCTGGCTCATTTTACTTAATATCTTCGTGGTTCATCTATGTTGTTGTGTGTATCAGAACTTTCTTCCTTTTTAAGGCTGGATGATATTCCAATGTATGTGTGCACCCATTTTATTTATCCATTCAATCAAGGGACACCTGGATTGCTATTTTTTGACTACTGTGAATAATGCTGCTATGAATGTGTGTGTAAACATACCCATTATATAGTACCTCTTCCCTTTTTGGGGGTATCATGGTGTTAACATCCACTCTTCCCAATCTCAATGTGCCTAGACTAGAACACAATACATCAATCAAACACGAAACCAAAAAGGCAGTGAAATAACCCTATCTGCTTTCTCTTGCAGCACTTCTCACTCAGCATGATAAAAACCTGACATCTTAACACCTACCAACTGCCTTAGAGATGTGGAAGACCTCTAGGCCTAGGCAAGCTTGTGGACCAGAAATGGAAGCCGGCACAGCTCCGTTTGTAGAAGTATAGCAGCAATTCCAAACTACATCCACACTCAGCTCTGCAACTTCCAAAAGATGTGGGTGTGGATGCTGAGGTCAAGGTTAAGCAAGTATAAAATCAGACGAATTTTTATAAAACTAGTCACAGAGAAAACAGGAAGACCAGGGAAGGTGGTGAAATTCCCACTAAGGCCAACAACTGCACAACACATTAGTCCCTGAAGCACTTTTTCCACCTGCTAAAACACTAAAAATCAGGAGAGTTTTAAATTACTTGAGAATTCACCAGTCCCCGAATTCTCTTCCTAGGAGTTCTTCCAGACCTTCTGTCATAAATTCCTTCTCTGTTTGAGAGAGAAAACTCTTAAGGAATTTTAGGAGCAGCAGTGTAATACACAACTGGGCAGAACCGTGTGTGTGTGTGTGTGTGTTGAGGGGGGTAATGGGAATTGAATACCCAGGCCTTGTGCACACTAGGCAAGCTACATCCCCCACTTTTTTTTTTTTAATTAAAGATAGGGTTTCCCTAAGTCACCCAGGCTGGCCTAGAACTTGTGATCCTCTCTTGTCTCAGCCTCCCAAGTACTTGGGATTACAGGTGGGTGCTACACCCCTCTATTAATAAAAACATAGCTGAGTTTATGGCTTAAAGAAGTTTTGAAGTGGGCATGGTGATGCATGCCTATAATCCTAGTGACTCAGAAGCAGAAGCATGAGGATCACAAGTTCAAGTCCAGCTTCAGCAACTTAGCAAGGCCCCAACTTGAAATATAAAGGGCTGGAGATGGGCTCAGTGGTTAGGAACCCCTTGGTTAAAGCCCTGCTACCAAAAAAAAAAAAGTTTTGAGAGGTTATGTGAAGGTACTGGATGCTCCAATGTGCTCAGAGTGTTTGTACAACAGTTCAGAGCCAAGCAGTTATGGCTCAAGGGGTCACCACCAGGAAAGGCTGCTATTTGAGTAGAAAGGAGAGAGGTTAGAGAACTGTGAACCTAAAGAGGAACAGTGACCAGGATGGTGAAGACTAGAACAATGGACAACAGGGATTGCTCCCTACAGATCCCCTTTCGTCCTCAGACCATTCCAGTGAAGGACTTGATAATAAAACTGCCAGTATCTGAGACACTGAAGAGGTGGTCTCAACTAGTGGGTAAAGGTCCACTGTATATTACAGTCACATGTATGCTCTTGCGTCCCAGGTATAGGTAGTTTCAAATAGGGCCTGTCCTCAGCAGGCCCTGCCTCAGTACTCAAGCTCAGTGCTCTAGGTTCTTTCACAGATCAGCCAGCCATCTACAGGGTGCTAAGACTCCTACTAGATAGACACCAGCCTAGAAGAGGCAATAGGTTCCTGCTCAGGCTTGAGCCTAAAATATGTTACATGAAATTACATGCAGTGGACTGTGATCCAACATAAAGTCATGTACTTTGATATGCATTCATTGGTATTTCATATGTAGAGTGCTTTTAGGAGTCTGTAGAAAGAGGGATCACTGGCAGAAGGAATGTGAGAATGGAGATTTTCTAACAACCCCACCCTCTACCCCCAGAAGTATTCTCTAGACTAGGATGCAGGTTAAAGATGCCTGGTTTGCTAAATTTCCTAGGCCTTCCTACAAATATACTGACTTGGTATGTATAGTTTCATATCCCTGAAATCAATGTGTGTCAGGTATTGCAGTAGAGTAGTCCTTGTTCACCTGATGGAAATAAAATAATTTATATTTTATTTTTATCTAAAAATATTGCAATATTTTTTGATAAAATATTGCAATATTGTCATTCAATGAATGTTTTCTCAGAGGAGATTCTAAACATCTTGAAAGGAACATGACAGCCTGCCATCCATTCCTTAAACACAACGATGAATTTTACTCATGCAGTAATTATCAATACGGTTCGACATGTAGAGCTTTCCTTCTGCCTAGGACAAATTTCATTTTGAACATTTAATAGTGTAGTGCCAAGTGTCAGCCTATCCTAATCAGGTTACCCTTCACAATTATAAAATGGCACAAATTTCTCTGAATACCACTCGAGAAAATATAATTCATATTTAGTATTTCCTAATATCAAAATCTCCTGAAGATTCAAAGGTTCCAAAAATCTTATACACGTTTTGCTCAGCACCACAATATCTGTGCTGCCATGCAAACTACCACATCGTGGTTTTCCTTTCGTATTATGAAACAAAGCAGAGAGATGGGGTAACCTTCTCTATAGCTCAGGAGAAACAAATGAAGGAATGGTGCATCCCACTCTTCTTTCACCATCTGTCTTTCTTCCTGAGCACGAGGAGGCTCCTCGGGTGGAAGGCAAGATGGCTGCCATCCTTCAGTTATCACAGTACTGTACCTTTAGAATGGACAGCATCAGCACTGTGATAACTGAGCCAGGGCAGCCTGTCAGTCACTGTACTGGTCAGCAGTGTTCTTGCTGGGCAGCTGCATTACTCCCTCAAAGACTCCCCACGAAGTGAAGGATTAAAAGATCCCCTTCTGGTTGAAGACGTGAGGTGGGGGTTGGAGTCCAACAGTGGTGAGGCTGAAATATTAAAAGGCCCAGTTGAATTACATTAGAATGAGAGGTGAACATGTGATTTATACATATTAATGAGGATGAACAACCATGTGATTAGGCTTTCACAATGATAACACATCAAGTAAGCAGTAAGCTTCCCAGTGACGTCTCCTCCATGCATGTACTCAAGACTCCAGCTCCCTGACTTCAGTCATGCCATAAATATTTACTGATGCACTATTATTTTCCAAGACCTCTTCAGGATGTTTAGGTAGATAAATGAAACATGGTTCTTGCTCCTAAACATGGCAATAATGCTTTATATCTTCCTAACACTCAATAAAACTTCTGTTTTCTCATTTGACTTCCACAAGAACCCTACAGGGTTAACAATGAATTATTCATTAACTCATCCAAAAAGGATTATGGAAATAGCTAAGATATCATTACCGCCCTTTTCACAGATACAAAAATGACTAAAATTATGGCAAACCATAGTAGGCCCAAATCCATGGTCAAAGATGGAACTCTTTGCTTTTGTCTCTCATCCACCCTAGCTCTCCTACTCAACCAACAGGATGTTCAGTTTATACCATTTATCCAAACATAAGGATTTCTGAAAATGTCTACTTTCTGCTGATGAGTATTAGTTCTCATTAACTCAAGTCATGAAGCAGGAACTAGTGCAGTTTTATTTTTATTTTTTAAAAGAGAGAATTTTTAAAATATTTATTTATTTATTTTTTAGTTATTGGCGGGCACAACATCTTTGTCTGTATGTGGTGCTGAGGATCGAACCCGGGCCGCACGCATGCCAGGCGAGCGCGCTACCGCTTGAGCCACATCCCCAGCCCCGCAGTTTTATGATTTAAGAAGAAATTCAAGCCTGGCATGTGAAGCATGCCTGTTAATCCCAGCAGATTGGGAGGCTGAGGCAGGAGGACTGCAGGCTCAAAGCCAGCCTCAGCAAGGCTATAAGCAACCTAGTGAGATCCTGTCTCAAAAAAAAAGCAAGATCCTCCTTTCATAGCTAGGAACATACTCAAGTTGATGACATTGGTAGATAGTATTTAGCACACCTGGGGATGTTTTTCACTATAGTTTATGCAATTATACAGTTATAGGGGTACAAGAATAAGTGGACAGTCTTTGGAATGCCTTTTTCCCCTTATTTTAAAAAATTTTATAAAAAAAGTTTTTATAAAAAATGCTTTACCACTGAGCTACAACACCAGCCCCTGGAATGCCTTTTTGAAAAATCAACATACATGCCGGGCACAGTGGCACATGCCTATAATCCCAATGATTCAGGAGGCTGAGGCAGGAGAATCACAAGTTCAAAGCCAGCCTCAGTAATGGCGAGGCACTAAGCAACTCAGTGAGACCCTGTCTCTAAAAAAAAGCTACAAAATAGTGCTGGGAATGTAGCTCAGTGGTTAAGTGCCCCTGAGTTCAATCCCGGGTACCCCCCCTCCCAAATCAACATACTATCTTTGAAATTATCTGTATCTTTGACTTATACCCTGAAATAATTTCAATGATGATTCTTACTTTTGATAAAAGGTACAAAAAGACTCTGAAATTGGAATCCAAGAGTCAGAATACCAACTTATTAAAACCATGATTCACCCAGGGTTTTTCCACGTCAGTCATAAGGTCTCAAGTTATTTCAGTATGAGTGGAACTTGACAGATATTTGAAAAATAATTATGTTTTCAATTAGACATTTGCTCAATTTCAAAGACTCATTATATGCAAATTAGATATTAGCACTGTACTTCAAATAAGTCAGATAGATGAATCAGTTCTGCAGTTCAGCAGAAGTCAGAAAAGAGTACAGTCAATCTAGTTCAACTATTAACTGTATGTACGATGAAATTGACCTGATCTTCACAAAAGTGATATCGAATAAAATAATCCACCTCCACACAAATTAAAAACAATATTCTCTAAAGTGCAAAAATATCTAAATGTTAAGGAGGTCATCATCTAGGTCGCAGCCAACTGATGTAATGCAGAGTTGAAACACGAGAGGGCAATGAAGATTTAAAAAAACACCACGACAGGCTAGATCTCACAACCTAAGTAAGGTTCCTGGAAATCGCTGTGTATTTTCACCCAAATTATAAACATCTGTTAGGTGAACCAAGACACTGCAACTGTTAGAATGAAATTTTAGTTTTTGATTCATCAAGAAGGATAAAAAGATTATCACCTAACGTTTCCTGACCATAAATTCTGTCGGCTTTATAAAAGACACAGTACCCACTTACCCTGAAATACTGGATGCTGGAGAAGTATGGAAACAAATACCCTTGAGATACTTACTAGCTGTGAGACAGCGCTTTGCTGAGATTGAGTATTAGTGCAAGTGGATTTCTAAATACGAAAGACAAAAGGTGAACTGAATGTGTAATAAGCTGAAAAGCTGAAATTCGCTCCATTAAGCCATTGCCCTAAATCACACAACTACTGAACATTTTTGGTAAAATAAAAGATATTTCCTTTTTTAAACTATTTTTTCCTCTCATTTTTTCCTACTGATACCCCTGATAGCCCCTCCAAAAAAAAATTGGTAAAAAAAAAAAAAGGCCAAGCATTGATAATGATAAGAAGCAAACTGTCATTATTCTGTTAATACTTAAATTTACGTTCCCTTAGACTAATTCAAAAGCAGCTTCAGAGGAATAAAAATATATTTCCCAAATATTTTTAAATAATAATAAATGCTTCAAAAGTGTAGTTTTGTTTCTTCTGGGACATTACTCTTTGTAAATGTACATTTTTGAAAAACAAAACCTAACAGAAACATTTCTTTTTCTATATACTTTTTTATAAGAAATTTTTTCATTAAAAACAAGTTGCCACAGGTACTCAGGCTATAGTAAGAAAGCACCCTGTAAAGTAAGGGGAGGAGAAAGCAGTGATGCCAAATACTTTCCTCCAAAGAACAAACTGATTTTAAATGCAGATCTTCTAAGAAAAATGATAAAATAGAGCCATTTCTTCATGATGCATGCCCCAAATACTAGCTTGAAAAGCAAGTACTTCTGTACCATTGATAATACCAAAGAACTTGCTTCTTTGGTGGAATACAAATGTATATTCAAAACACACATGACATTCTTAGACAAACTGAAAATGAACATATGATTCTAAACCTTTAAACATCAATTATATAGTCAATAATTAGAAATACTGTGAAACAAGTTGCTGGAATGTCAAAGTATTTTAAAACTATAGCTATTTAAATCCACTGTTCTTTTAACTAAAGGGAGATTTTTCCCCCCCATTTGAAAACCATAACCCAATTTAATGACAAATCATAAATGTACAAATGTGACCACACTGTGATGCTGTAAAAATGTACTGTAAGCAAAAGATGCTCAAATGTTAACTTCTCGGTCAGGTAAGGTGGTGCACGCCTGTAATCCCAGCAGTTCAGAAGGCTGAGGCAGGAGGATTGCACATCTGAGACCAGCTTCAGAAATTTAGTGAGGCACTAAACAACTCAGGAGACACTGTCTCAAAATAAAATATAAAAGGCCTGGGAAGACGGCTCAGGAGTTAAGAGATGGAATCCTGGATTCCATCTCCCGGTTATACAAAATAAAAACAAAACAAAGGTCAACCTCTGCTTTGTCAGAAGTATACAGCATGTACACCTGCATTTTACTGCAAACTTTGCTATATAATAGTTTATTTTAAATTTGTGCCAAAAATTTGTGGGAAACCTAGAACGAAGAGGTTACAGATTTTTTTTTTTTTTTTTTTTTTTTTTAGATACAGGGTCTAAGTTGCTTAGCTTTGCTAAATTGCTGAGGTTTGCTTTGGACTTGCGATCCTCCTGCCTTAGCTTCCCTAGCCACTGGGATTACAGGCCACCATGCCTGGCTCAGATTGTTTTCTAGTTTAAGGAGAATGAAATTGGTTAAAGTAGCAAGGAAAAGTCAAAGATCACTGCCCTGTGCAAAGTCACGTCCAATCTTCAAGAGGAGCATTAACTAGGAGTGATTACAGAATGGTGTCACTGTTTTACCTGCTTCATACGTTGGCCTCTAAACAGTCTCAGGCTATAAACCTTAGCAGCCATATGGACAAAAACACTGTTGCAGTAACACACAGAGAGAAATGACCTTTCTTCTCTTATGCTGACTGGGATTTTGGTCCAGAGGGATCCAGGGGACTAAAAATTTACAAATAAATGAACTAGTTCATATATTCTATTTTATGGGCCTTTTCCGAAACTTCATACATGAAATTCAGCATAAGTGTTTTTTAGTCTGTCTACTCCATGTTTATTTAGCCTTCTGATGTTGCTCTAGTATGCACTCTCCCCATCTCCCAGACTTTGGATTTTACAGTTTGCTCACGAGTCAGTTTTATTCTGAGTTCACCTCTGTATTGTACCCTTTTATTTTTTTTTTTACCAATTGAATTTTATTTATTTATTTTTTATTTTTTTAATTTTTTATTGTTGGTTGTTGTATTGTACCCTTTTAGAATAACTGGTCAAAAATACACCAGTTAACCTCAAAACAGTCTCATTAATCGTGCCTAAAAAACTATGATGTCCTCATTACGATTGCACTGCCATTTAAAAATGCTGGATCTTAGGTTTTCAGATTCCCTTAATGGATAGCTAAAGGGGACAATACTAAAGACTTGCCGCTGACCTCCAATTCTAGAGCTGCAGGCCGTTCCAGAAACACAATTACACTCCATTTTTCTGCAGAATCCACCATTCTCACAGCTTCTACTCCTCCATGTGTAAAATAAACACATTTATACTTGTAACACACCACAGGGCACTGCGCATACCAAGTGCTGTGCTGTACACTTCGGCACTGTTTATGTCTTGCTTCCTGAAGTCAACAGCCCTCTTCCTAAAGTCAGAACCTGTTTTCTTCATGTCCCTTCAAACACTCTCAGACATTTGCACAAAGTACAAGCTCAACAAATATTTGACTAATTGATTAGCCTCTTCATTTTTTTTTCAGGAACCCTCTAAATCAGATTATCAACAAAAGCATGTTTAATTCCAGTCTGTACGATCCTACAAGGTACTTGACCATTTGTCATCTATAAAATGAGGGGATAGTAGCAAAAGGCCTTTAAATCCCCTCCAGTGCATTACTGAATCTCATTAGACAAAACAAAACCCCAAAGACAGTACTATCGCCATTCATGTGTTTTTTGGAGGAAAGTAGCCAGCTACACTGTGAGTCTAATTACTACTGGTAGAGCCCTGATGTGGGGGGCAGAAAGTAACTGAAGGAAAAAATTAAATAGAAAGTAAATGAAGGTAATGGATGAGTAGCATCATTAAAACCCCAACAGGTGTCACAACTGTTTTCTGATGTATTTTGTTATGCCCAGGAGCCTTTTACAAAAGCAGCTATGGCCAGGTATATGGGTATTCAAAATTTCCTACTGATACCCCTGATAGCCCCTCCAAAGGGGTTAGCAGGTTCTAGAGAACCTTCAAATTTTTTATTGCCCTCCCTTAGTAGGATACAGCTCCTAAAAGAAATCTACCAAGCAGTAACCAGGAGGTCTCATACAGTAATACTTTAATTCTCTTGAAATTCCCAAATCTTTACATGGAATATAGCAGTAGAAAGTAGGTGGCTGACAAATATGAAGTAATATTTCACACAATCACCTCTTTTGAAATTAAACCATGGACAAAAAGGAATAATACTGTAGACCAGAGTTGTCCAAAAGAAGTATAACATAACACACTGTATACACATATTGAAATATCACATTGTATGTCCAAGTGCTATGTGTTGAATAAAAATATATATTTTTATTTTTATTTTTATTTTTTTTTTATTTTTTTTTTAAAATATATATTTTTAAAAAAGCATAATATAAGCTACATATGTAATTTTAAGTTTCCTGGAAGCCACTTTTAAAAAGGCTAAAAAAAAAAATCAGTAGGTGAAATTAACTTTATTTAAATTTAACTTTATATATCCAAAACATTATCTAAACATGTAATCAATATAAAAATTATTAATGAGCTATTTTACTTTTTTTGTTGTTGTTGTTACTGAGTCTTTGAAATCTGGAGTGTATTTTATTTTTACAGCCCAATTCCCAATTCCAATGCTAAATTTTCAAGAAGTACTTAATCTGTGTTTATATTTCTTAATATTTAGTTTAATTGGATATACATATCTAATATATCTCCAAACATATTTAAGTATTCCGATAACTGATAGTGTGAATTTTGAAAATTAAATAAAACTAAGAACTCAGCTCATCTTCTCAGCCATTTCAGGAGGCTGACTAGATGCACATGTGGCTAGCAGCTACCCTATTAATGCAGGTAAAGGCAATCCTGTCTCTAGTACCTTGATTCTTTTAAACCTCAATCAAAACAAAAGATGTTGCTCATCAACCAGCAAGTCCTTCTACAGTATCTACCAGGCACTCAACTTATGTCAAGTGCTTTCTGCCCCACTTCCAATCCTTTAAGTCGTCAGTACTTCAGTGACTGATCATTTACTAGGCAGTCCTCCCCAGACAATTTTGGGAAGGGCTGCTTAGTAAAGAGAGAAAGGCTCATTTTGATTTAAGGACATAAAAAGAGACACTGAGATTCAAAGACTCTACAAGGCAAAGGTAGAAAATCCCGACACTGTTACTCCTTTGTCTGGGATGTTTGTCACCCTGCAAAAGTTACTTTGGGGTCATTGTTTATAATGAGCCTCTCAACTTACATAGAGCAGCTGTCACTGATCCTCAGAATCTCTGCCTTCTTCAAGTGCCCCCTCCTAACTTCCCCAACCACCTTTGTATCTAAACACACAGTAGAGCACATTCCAGGAGGCCCTCTTTAACTAATTCTGAAAAGTGCTTGTTCTTGTTGACATACTGAAACATATGAATAATTCAATAAATAAATCTCAAACCAAACTATTAATCATTCATTGTTCTGGGTACCTGAATCTATCTTGAGAAAAGCTTTTCTGAAATACCTGGAAAGTATCTTCCCTCTCTTTCCCAAAGGAACCAATTACAAACATCACAGCTTTCTCTACCTTCTCACTCCCCCTGTCAAAGTTCACTATGTTCCTCCTGCAGCTGATTTAAAAGTTGATCTTTTAAAGGAGCTGGATTCCTAAGGTAGTTCTATTTTGGGCCTTCTTCCTGTTCTGAAGCTAAAGTTGGAAGGGCTTAGGTGGTGATGTCATGGAAGGGAGACTGTTAGCTGTTACAGAAGGGTCTTCCCTGGCAATGCAGGGGACACTCTGGGGCATCTTTCTCCCCTCCTTCCCTGTGGAGTTCCAGCTATTCATTAGCCAAGAAGAAAACAAGTTCAAATAAGCGTGCAAACATTTACTTATTTTACATGCTGAATATGTCACAAATGAAAGGAGAAAAATGTCTCCTTCTAGAGAATAAGGGTGACCATCTCTTTCTCTACCCATCTTCTTCCCCCAATAATCTATGAAGGGCCAGGGGCAAGAAGGGTAGAAGAATAACACAGTTATAACAGAATAACACGCTGGTAAGAATAACACAGGGATTATATATCTAGGAGGCTTGAAGAGGGAAATACTGTTATGATATTCCAGACAGAAACCCTTGAGTCCCTTCTCTTCCCTTGTTTCCTCCTCCCTTTGGAATGGTTAGACTTGGGGCTGGGTGTGCCGTCTGCTTGGGAGGCGTGTTTGGCTCTGGAAAACCAAAAGGGGCCAGGGTGCCGCCCAGGGGAAAAAAAAGCCAGAAGACAGGCTGCTTAGGCCTGCTTCTGAGCTAAGTTTAGGAGAAGGGTAGAGGGGACTGCAAGATGTGAGCAGATTTCGATTGGAAGACCCACTGGGGAATAAAACACAGCACAGCACACTGGGCCGAAGGGGGCCACCTCTCCTTTTCACAACCTAAGCCCAGCCGTTGGTTGCCAGTGGTAGGGTACAGGGGTGAAGGAAGAGAAAAATCCCGACACAACTGTGGACCACAACTTGTCAGGAGGTTGAAGACAGATGTGCTGAACGCAATCAGCAGGTGAAGGGAGCGCTTTCTGCCAATTCTCGGGTGTTGGGGTTCTAGCTAAGAGACCTGGAGCTACAGGGGATTCCCTGGTTTCTCTGCTCACCTCGTCTCCAAAGCGGATAGAAGCACAGGTGTGGTTATTCTCCAGTAAGGTGGCAGCTGGCGTGCGGGCTGCGGAGTGAGGGAAAGGATTCCGCAGGGAAGGCAGTGGGGTCAGCTACGGCCAGGAGCTGGGGTATCCTCCAAGTCTCCTCCCCCTTCTTGAAAACCGACCTGGACCAGCATAAATTACAGCCACACACCCCCCTCCCCAATAATGTTTCTAATAAAAGAAACAGTCTCTCACACTAACATAAAAAACTGGAGCCCTGATTGATGGAAATAAACAGGTGAGCCCAGAGAGAAGCGGGAAAAGACTAGGAATGGGAGAAAGAAGGGGGGAGGCGTTCCCGAACGTGCGGAGAAAACGAGGCTTCCCCGCTCTCCCTCCACACTCCCTTCCTTCTGGCTCAAGAGAATCTGCGTGGCAGGGCACAAGCTTAAAATGCCACTCTGACAGACACTCCCGCCCCACACACCCGCTCCCATTCTCCCCGCCTACCCCAGGGTCCAGCGTCCCGGCCTCATGGTAGCGCTTGGTCCCCTAGGCACACTCGCCGCGCCGGGCTCGCCCTCACCCCGGACCGCCGCCGCCGCGGGGACTCCGGTCTTCCTCTCTCCTCCCTCCCTCCTCCTCCTCCGCCTCCTCCTCGCAGACTCCTCCCGCCGGATCCTTCATGTAAACAACATCCAGGCTCTATTTACAGTCGCCGCCGGACGGCGAGGAACCCACGCCAGCACCCTGGAAGAAGGCGGGGGTGGGGGAAAAGCGAGTGCGCAACATTTACACACACCCCGCCCCGCCCCTCCGTGCCGCTCCCCCCTCCAGGGGCCCGGAGCCGGGCGCCGGGGGGCTCCCCGAGCCCTCCTCCAACCTGCGCTGTCCCCGACCCGGCGCGGGCCCCGGGGAAACCGCGGAAATGCCCCTGGGCGAGGCCCCCCTTAGGAAAAATAACACACCCTAACAACAACAAACCCAGCCCAGCAACACCTCCGAGTCCGTCCCGGAGTGTAGAGCCCAGGGCCGCCCCGGGCCGCCGCCCCCGCGCCCAGCTGCCTACCCCGAGGTGGCGAACTGCGTGCGGTCCCCGGAGGCGGCAGAAGGCAGGCGGCCAGCGCTGGGCAGTGGCGCGCCCTCGGCCCCCGTCGCCGCCCGGCCCGCCCCCTGTCCCTCGCGCGGCGCCGAGGAAGCCGGGCCCGGTGTGTGCGTGTGCGAGTGCGCGCGCGCCGCGGCCAGCCTCGCCGAAACGGCTCTTTTTCGCCCCCGCGCCTTCCAGCGGCCCCGGCCCGGCTGGGGCGCGCCGCGAGCCCGGGCCCAGAGCGCAGCGGCCCGCGCTCCACCGCGGCGCACGGCGCGCACACGGACGACAACACGGTTGCTCGGAGTCCCGCGCGGTCGCCCGCCTCCCGCGGCCGCCGGGCCCCACGCGAGCCCCGCCACCCTCGAGCCCGGCCGGTCGGCCCCACACCCACCTGCGCCCCTGGGGGGTCCCGGGCCCCCCCTTCCTTTGTTCTTCCCGCTATTTGCATGAGGATTATCTAATGACGCAGCAAGGCTCGCCACAACGTGACCGTCGCCATTTTTCTGTTTTTATTCTATCTCTGCCATGTGATAGATGGTGGGGGGGGGGGGGTTGGAAATGGGAGAGAGACAGGATTAAAAAAAAAAAAACTTCCGGGTCTCATGACCGGGAAGGGAGAAAAACAAAAGGGAGACGAGACACAACTCTAAGGGAAGGATGTGTGTGTACGTGTGTGTGTGTGTGTGTTTGCGCGTGTGTGTGTGTTGGCGCGCCTGCGCGCCCGCCTTTCCCTCTGCTGTGAGAAGGGAGGCTCCGCCAGCGGACCTGGAGCATCCTTCCACCCTAGAGAGCCCGGCGATCCCGGTGGGCTCAGATCATAGCCTCTAGTTGTGGCGGTCGCCTATCCTGGCTCCACCACCGCCTCAAAAGCTCGGGGAAGCTGTCAGTTTGGCTCCTTCTCCGGCTGCCTTCACTTAGTTGTCCGCCCCAGCCTCGCGCTCTAGCTCCCGGCGTCTGGCTGGTTCTGGGTTATACTCAAGAGAAGTCTCGCCGTTACCTTGCGAGGGAAAAATGATAGTTTAAAGGTCACCGTATTTCTTAAGTTTTAAAACAGTTTGTCTCGACTCTTGTTTATGACAGCCGCGTGGCAGTACCAGGCAGAATCTAGTTCAAATCTTTTCCTTTCTATTCCCTTTTCTCTTTCTTCCCCAAAGCGGGACACACCCTAGTGTGGTGTTCTATCGGGTTTTGTTTTGTGGGGTCGGACCATTCATTGTGGATGGATTTATTTAGAAAGAAAATTTAAATAAATAATTGTTCTGGGTCAGGGTGGATTGTTACAGAAGACAGTTGCATAGAGCAAGGTGGATTCGTGTTACAATGATCTTATTCACATTCAGAGGGCATGATAGACATTTCTTTCCCAAATTCCTGGTTGCAGAAAAAAATTTTTTTTAAATATTCAAGAATGCTGCCACCGTTTTCCAGTGAGAAATAGAATTTGGTGCGTTTGTATACTACAGTATTTCCTTCGGGCACTTTCACTTTTGTTTCTCTTTTGAGTTTCTGGCTTTTGGGGAGGGGGGGGTCCTCTATTTTATAATTTAGAACAGAAATTACGTTAGAGTTGCATAGGGTTCCTCACTTTACTGGTAAAGAAAGGAGGACCCTTAGTAAAGACTTGAGTTGCTCTAGGTCACACATTTAATGAAAAGCCAGGTTTGCATTGAGCCCTACTCACCTGACGTTTCTTTCGTTGGGGGAGGCAGAAGACAGGGATGGGGTTGGGAGTTTCTTAGCAATGTAAGACAATGATTCTGCTTTGTAGCTTTCATATGCTAGAAGTTAAAAGATGGAGAACTCAGGGCTGCTATGAAACTGATCCTTCTTCACAACCCCTTTTCTTGAGTTTTGGTTGAAATGTGTGTGATAATTCAGATTTAGCTTCACCTGTCCCTGGGAGGGTGTGTGGTTTCTCAGGCAACATTGCTACATGATTGTTGTGAATGATTTTTATTAGACTCATAGAGTTGACCTCTTTCCCTTTTGTGCCACTATGTCCTTTTTGTATTTATTTCACTGTGCCTTTCACACTCTAGCACACAGAACAGTTGATGTATCTCCCTACTCCTCCCGGGGAATCTTTGAGGACCAGCCAGGGCCATGCCCTGTTCATCTTGTAACTCCCATATTTAGCATGATGCCTGGCAATGAATGAGCAAAAAAAGGTCTAGAGAACCTTTCCACAATTCCATCCTGACCAGTTCTAGGAAATTCCCTGAACATTTCTGGTGAAGGTGGAATACTTGATGTTTCTTGATTCTTCCACCTTTGCAGATCATTTTTGGCAGGCTTATTTAATGACAGAGCCAGGCAAAACATATTTTGCTCTCTCTTTTTTTTTTTTTTTTAACCAACTTCCTTTTTCTTTCTCCTCTTTTTACTATATTTGGTTTTTCTTTTTAAATTCTTTCTAATTCTAATTCGTATAAATAAATTAGTTTTGCCAATGTTTGCCCTTTGGGGATTGGTTTTGTTTTCATAGACTGCAAGTTTGGTTAAGTTTAAACTGTGTTTAACCCTTTTTAGCCTGGAAGCAAATAATCACAGGCAACATCTTTCTCTTTGGGGCAGGAGGGGTGAGGGCTGGTGATTGAACCCCAGCCTCCTGCATAATAGGTAAATGCTATACCACTACCTGGGCTCTGTGGTGCACACCTTTAACCCCAGTGGCTTGGAAGACTGAGGCAAAAGAATTGAGAGTTCAAAGCCAGCTTCAGCAGTTTAGCAAGCCCCTAACCAACTTATTGAGACCCTGTCTCAAAATAAAGAAGGACTGGGGATGTGGCTAAGTGGTTGAGTGCCCCTGGGTTTAATCGCTGGTACCAAAAAAAAAAAAAAAAAAAAAAGGCTCTACCACTGAGCTGTACCCCTAAACCCAGAGAGGCTCTGATTCTTCCTGGGATCAAATAAACTAGCTGTCCAGACTGGCAGTTAAGCAGGCTAAACAGGACTGCTTAAAAGATGCTAGCATTAAGTTCATATTTACAACTTTAAAAGATTGAAGAATAATACAAACACACACACAAACACACACAGCTCAGAGGAAAGTCTGGATTGTCACAGATAAGATCATATATAGAGATAGACCTGAAAAGTTCCATTGCATATCTGAGCATAAACTGCATGTATACCTATTGATGGAGCATATGATATTGGTGTGACAGTTCATGACATCAAAAGCCTGAATGTTCCATCCCAGAGAACAACAGTGGGATAATAATTTAAGTATCATATTATCAACTTCCAGCAAGTTGGAGATCAAGTCTAGTTATATATGTAAAATAAGTTTTTCCCTTAATACAAACAAGATGGGGAAAAGGAAACATAGTTCAAAAGATATAATTATAGGAAATACTTCCATCTTTCATTTTTAAAATTTTCTTTCTTTTTCTTTTTTGGTAGTTGGGATTGAATCCAGGGACATTTAACCCCAGCCCTTATTTTATTTAGAGACAGGGTCTTGCTGGGTTACTTAGGGTCTCAATAAGTTGCTGAGGCTGGCTTTGAATTCAAGATCCTCCTGTCTCAGCATCCTGAGCCACTGAGATTATAGGCACGTACCACAGCACACCACCATGCCTGACCCATTGTTCATTATCTACATTTGTGGATGCACACATCATTTTGAAGATCAAATTAGTCATCAGGTTACCATGTATCTGCTGATTAAATAGAAGTCTTATAGAAACCCCAATAATATTCTTCCATCTTTCCAATACACACTTAAAAAATGACAGTTCCCAATGTCATGGTGAGGATATGGTCTTTAGAGTCAGGTATTACGCTCAGCTCTGACATGTCTTAACTGTGTCAACTTAGGCAGGTTACTTATCAGTTGTGACTTTTCAGTTTCTTTACTTATAAGATAAACATAACAACACTAGTTTAAAGAAGAATTTTTAGTACTGAAATTTAAGAAGATATATATAAAGCACTTGGTGTGATACTTGGAATGTTATCTTCAATAAAGAGGTACTGAAAAAATTTAGAATCAGATTTTTATTTACCCATGCATTTCCCAAAAGTATTCTTTCCCTTTTACTCCTTACTCTTAAAAAGTCAATAGCTGGAGGGGCTGAGGTTGTGGCTCAGCAGTAGAGTGCTCCCCTAGCACAGGTGAGGCCCTGGGTTCGATCCACAGCACCACATAAAAATAAGTAAATGAAGATATTGTGTCCAACTACAACTAAAAAAAGAAATATATATATTTTTAAAAAATCAACAAGCCTATTATTGAAAGTTCAATGACTATAAAGATAAATCACAAAGCTGGGCATGGTGGGCATGATGGCACACATCTGTAATCCCAGTGGCTCAGCAGGCTGAGAAAGGAGGATCAAAGAGAGTTCAAAGCCAGCCTCAGCAAGATGAGGCACTAAGCAACTCAGTGAGACCCTGTCTCTAAATAAAATTAAAAATAGGGCTGGGGACGTGGCTCAGTGGTGAATGCTCCTGAGTTCAATCCTTGGTACCCCTCCCCCCCAAAAAAATATAAATCACAACAGGTTCTGCCCTGATGAAGTTCATACTTTAGCCCAAGGAAAAGAAACAAATACAAGTAACTAGACCAAAACAGGTGGACTGAAGGAGAGTGCTGTGTACTGTTTTCTGATGATCCACTTGAGACATATTTCATTAAGATTTATTCATATCCACACAATAACACTATAACAAAGCTTATGTAAGCAGTTTGAAAAATGCCTCCCTCCCAAACCCTCACATTTTCACATAAATGAAGAATATTATGTTTGAAACTCCATCTAATCAGTATAATTCTGTAGCTTTTAAAAGCAGTTTTCTGGTTCACTATAAAAAGCAGGCTGCTTTTGCATTTGTATGAAAAATATGCCAGTTTGTATCTTTGAAGTAATGTTGGAGAAATGTAGTTAATAGGAAGCACTTCTGGTTGTTAATTAATTAGACCAATTTAATCAAGAACCATTTTCTGAAGAACTTATTCCCAGCCCTAGGTCAGATACTGAAGAGACAAACATGATGAAGATACATACTTAGCCCTTAAGGAACTCATAATCTAATAGTACCTTATTCAACAAATGTTTATTGATTACCTACTGGGAATGCGATGTGAAAAAGGACATTAAGCTTAGTCTTTGGGGAGATTGATATACACACATGTGTCCAGCTTCCTTAAGAGGTATGGGATTAACATGGGTGGAACAAGGGAGAAAAGCTTTTGTTCCTTGAAACAAAGGTTGCCTTTGAAAGAGTAGTTTGATCACCATAGCCAAATTGACCCTGGGAGTCTCACCAATGTCAGAATTGTGAAGTGAGTGAAGTCATTTCAGTTCTCCTAAGTCTGGACCCCTTACATAGCATTCATACCACTCAGTTTCTGACCTCTGCACTCTATTTTATTCTCCAAAGGCTATTACAATGATGATTCTAAAATGCAAACCTGATTATATTATTTTCCTGCTCAAAAACTTTCATGGCTCCCCATTATCTGCTAAGTACATAAGAACCCTTGTGGAGGTGGGGGTGTAGCTAGTTCAGTGATAGAGTATGTGCTATAGTATATGTGAGGTTTGAGTTTAATCCCCAATACCGTGAGAAAAAAAAAAAAAACACCCTTTGTGATCTTGCTCTGCCAAGTCTTCCAGCCTCATCCTCCCAGAGACCCACATACCAGGTTGCTAGATTTAGTAAGAAAATATAAGATGCCCAGTCAAATTTAAATTTCAGATAAATACTTTTTTTGGCATTAAGGGGTCCTGTATATTGACTGAGACATACTTGTACTAAAACATACTCATTGCTTATTTGAAATATAAATTCAATTAGGCATCCTGTGTTTTATTTGGCAACGTTACCCTTGACAGCATGATGGACTAACTTGTACTTGGCCACTAGTCTGTGTCTTGGTTGGTGTTTGATAATGTCTTTACCCTGTCCTTCATCTATGTGCTGTTCTTTGCTACTTCTTCATTAGCTGGCCATGGAATTCTTGAACTCTGTTG